AAAAAAAAAAAAAAAAAAAAAAAAAAAAAAAAAAAAATTATTCCTTGTGTGGCCTTTGGCAGCTTTAGCAGTGACTATGGAAATTATCAAAGGTAGTGATGTTGAGTGTAAGTTACTTAAGAATTTAAAGGAGGCCACTGTCACGCTCACTTTAGCACAAGGAGCACAAATTCCCTGTTCCTGCCTGTGGCAGGATTTGTGGAATCTTATATGAGGGATTGCTAATGGCATGGTAATGGCCTTTGTAGTGAAGGTGTGTGTTTCTAGAATTATTCCTCTGAGTTTAGATTGCTTCTAGAAATAGCATGCACTTTGTACCTTCAAGCTGAAGGGAGTTTTAAGCTTTAAGTTAAGCTTCCTTATTTTGTGGCTGTGCTGAATTAAAGGTGAGTTCAGTCATTTGCTCGGGATTCCTCCAGGTAGGGATCACATGGAGGTCAGGGCTCTCTTCCCTCAGGTATCGGCTCTTTCCCTCCAGCCCTAACTCTGCCTGTGCTCACCCTGCACCACAGTGTGTGTGTCCTTATCTCCTCTCCGCCATCGGTGACCTGGCTGTCTGCAGGCCTTCCTCTCTACCTGTGCAGTGACCTGGCAGCCTCTTCTCGAGAGCCCTCCAGCTGGGACCCGAGGCCAAGGGCAAACGGAAAGCTCACCATCACGATTTCCTTCATCATAGGTCTCTATTCTCTCTTCCTCCAGGTGTCTAGACATCGTGGTCGTCCTCAGCCCCTGGGCATTTCTTTGGGAATCTGTGCCCCTGACACTCTCCCCTCTTTATCCTGGCATCCTTACCTCTGCCCATGGAAGCTCCCTAGCCTCTGCACCCTCCCAACCCACCCAGGAAGACAGAGTATTGTTGAGGTTGTGGTTTTGTCTCTCACACTCCTGTGAAGTTCTGAGAGTGGGGATGTAAGCAACAGTTCTTATACCCCAAAGATAAAAAAGAATGGCCAAATCTCAGCTCCCCTAATCCTCGCTAGAGAGTTCTCTGTTAGAGATAGTAAGCCTGATGAGTAGTCATGACCCCTCCTAGTCAGCCTGCAGCCACTCACCGGAGCTGAGGCAAGAGCGCCTCAGTGGCTGAGGTCACAGCTATAGCTGTTAAGTTTGAACTCGCTCTTTGCCGCCTAAAAAAATCACAATGAATACAGGATGTGTTATCCCTGGTTCCTGTTTCCGAGATCAAGGTACAATGGGCGGGAAGCAAGTGAAAACAGGAAGATACTTCAGAACTTTTGATATATACCCATTTATTTGTGTCTGAGAATGAGGAGGGAGATAGGCAGACCTAAATGAAGTAATCATTAATTTATAGCATGTTTTAAGTCAAATAAAGGAGAATTGAGTATTTGGAGTTTGTTTTGTTTTTAGGATAGGGTCTCCTGCACTCACATCATGGTGGAGGCAGGTCTGGAGCTCCTGATTCTGTCTCTGTCTCCCAAGGGCTGGGAGTGCAGCAGTACCACCACATCCACTGAGTGGAGATTTTAGAAATGAGTTTACTATTTTTAACAGGATTTCAGCAACAGAAATCTGCCCGCCTTTCAATTGGAAGAGAAGATTGAGGCCAGCACAGCTCGTATGATGTTGATTGACGTTCGCACTATTTTTCAGGGCTGTGTGGATATCCGACAACACACTTTCTCTCCTCTTTGGGCTAGCAGGACACCATGAGTCCCTGAACCTCCACAACATGCAGAGACTTCTGTGTGTGTGACCTAGTCTCCTAACCGTGGCCAGGATTGCACCAACAGCCTGGGACAGACAGGAGGACACTGCCCACCTGTCCAGTACCTCACCTCTTACTGTGGCTGAGAGAAGGGTCTCCCTTAGACACCTTCATTTGTTGGTGTCTGCAGGTCAGCATTTTTACATCGTAGACTGCTGTTGGCCGACATACAGTAACTCTCTAGTAGGTGCCTAGCATGCATGATTGGAAGTCCTGGAGTGAGGTCACTTGTCACAGCGTTTACTCCACTAGGTGACTGATCATGGCGCTAATTAACTCTAGGAAGCCCGCCAAAAGTAGCTTAGAAAAGGACTTATTACCACAGCCACCCACATATGGTGTGAGCCCGTGAGCGAGGCTGCTTTGTGGGGCCGGGCGCTCTAGTATTTGCAGGTTTGCAGAGCACGCCAGGCCCCAGACAAGCACTCCGAGATACTAGAAAGCACAGTGTGCTCATCTGTGTGCTGAGACGGAAAGCAGACATCTCCAGATAAGTTCAAGAAGATAATTTGCACAAAAATGACAGGGCAGGGAAACTTGGCCGGTTAGATTCGTCCTTCTGTGGGCTGATGGGCAGGGTGAGCGTGGTGAGCACTCGCCCAGCACTGACTGAGAGAGGCGCTGGCAGGAGAGCTGGGCAGAGACTTTTCTCCCCCAAATGAAGCAGCTGAAGCAGAGGCCTTGCCCAAGGCCGAGCAGTTATAAATAATTGGGCCTGGGCCTGGGGTGATCCCAAGCCCTTCTCTTAACTGTTACTCCCTCCTGTACTCGAGGTTTGAAGCCCTTGTTAACCAGAAAACACCACCACACCGACAAAAAACCCTCATTCTTCTTGAGAGGAAGTCCCTTCGTGGCTTGTGTTTTGTTAGGCATTTCTATAAAACCTTCACTCTCACCCTGGAAATTGATTCTACAAATCACTATAATTCTTTAAGATTTTCTTTCAAAATTTCTATAATGTAAATGTGGGAGCTTATTTAGCATTACTGGTCACTTAATAATAGAAACCGATGACATAGATTTTATTTTTTCAATTATTAGTAGTTGGTCTTTAGAATGATTCTGCTTCTGAGGCAGCAAAGCCCAGGCTGATCAGTAGGAGGCTTTGCTGGTGGGAGAATAAATTGATAAATATTTTTGCAAAGCAGAAAATACTGTTCTATAACCTGATGCTTTAGAAAATACCCCCCTTACCCCAGGAATTCTATTGATGATAGTCTCTGAGAAATATTAGATATCAAAAAGACTTTTCTGTACATAAATGCATGCCAGGTAGTCAAATGTAATGGCTTTTTCAAAAAAATTAGGCTAACTGGTTATATTGTATATAAAATATATCAAAATGTAGAAACACTCTATTTTGGTAACATTGTTCCTTTCCCTTTATATTAAAGAACCCTGAAATACCGATGGCATTTGCTAATGTTTACTTGTACTGTGAGTTGACACTGAAGCACATAAAAAAAGAGCCCGCCTTTTGATAATAATGTTTCATTCATTACTTCCATCTCATTTAGTAGCTAATTTGGACTGCCAATAACCCCAAAGCAATCTAAATAGCTAGTTATTTAGTACATTCTTTTTTCTTTCATTTTTACCTTAAAACTTAGGTTTTCAAAGTATCCCTTAAAGAGAAGAGTGTCCGTACTCACATGTGCCAGGGTGGCCAGGGCCTCCGTTGTAGCGGTCTCTGTTGAGTGGTTTGCTCAGACTGAAGTTAGTTAACTGGGCATGTTGCTTTAAGAGGACGGAGCAGGCGTCCTTTTATGGTGGTGCCTTTTTCCTGTCACCCTGTGACTGAGCATAGCCCAGAGCAATTAGCCTCACACATGCGTGCATGCTTTTTTTTGAAATGGGAAGTGAGATTTTTTTTTCTGATACAGATTTTAAAAAACTATTCAAAAGTCCCTTGGACTTCGTGAATTGCTGTTATCTATGGAACTTTTTTAATTTTTCCATAAAGATTTAAGTCTTAAAATTTTTTGAAGCAATAAAGTTTAAGCAGAGAGGTGGGGGTATAGTTCCTGGTGACTTTATGTTGACATTTTATGTAAAGTTTGGGTTAAGGAAAAGTGTCTCATCTGATAGTGCTGTCTGGTGGAGACATGGTGGTGTCAGGAGTGTAGTTTATGCTGCCCAGATCTTACCAGGTTTCTGAGGTGAGGGAGAAAGACCCTCCTAGCACATAAGTAAGTTACGTTTTCCGTCGAGGGCGGTGATGGTGGAAAGTTGGGGAAGGCACTGCTGATGAGTCCAGGCTCCGGCACACAGTACGAAAGAGGCCTGCTCCCACACGTGATGCTGCTGCCCGTCCCTCACTTGAGTCCAGCGGGCACCATGCCGCATATAGTGCTCAGAGTGAGCCAGAGAGGTGGTGGTCACTCTTGTCCACCTGTGATCTGGCCTGTCACCCAGGGCTGCTGCTTTTGGAAGAACAAAAGTCCCTGAGATAGCACACCAGTGGACTCAGTGTCCCACACAAGTGAGTGGACATCTGTGTGAAGTGTTTTCTTTGCTCTCTGAAGTGTGGTCATGAGTGTGTAGTAGGCACTCGCTAACTGGTAATGATACTAGAAGGAGGAGTCAATTATGTACTAACTTATTTTCTGTTTTGTGCTTCTATTCATTGCTTAAGATAAGACTCCCAGGGGTTGGCTGTTGACACTGTAAAAGGTCAATGTGAATGGTTGTTGCCAGTGTAAAGAGCAGATGTTGTCAGAAAATAAGGAAAAGGGAAAAACTGGTCAGTGACTAATAACATTATGGTGTTCTGTGAAGCCTTGTGTATATAGAAATAGCAACACAAAATTTCTGCCAAACAACCCAGATAGTCCTGGTTTAAAGTGAGTGCCTTTGCTGGGTTTCTGCATGTGGTCTAGTGTTTAGTCATCGTTTGAAATGACACAGCGATCAGTGTGTAAGGGGTTTTTGCACTTCTTCTCTTGCTGGGTAAGGTTTGAGCTGTGGGCACTGAAATGTCTGTCTGTTTTTCTGGGAGGGTGGGAGTGGTGTTGACATGTGACCTCAAGTAAGCACCGTGCTTCATGCTATTTAATAACATTTTCATGTTGCACTTGTTGAGACATGTAAACAGAAGAGTTTCTGAGAACTGAGAGCATGTGTTGGGGCGGCAGGGGAGCTCCCCAATGCAGTTGTCACACAAAGCGGAGTTTTATCATTTTTTAAAATTTATTTTAATTTATGTGTATGTGTGTGTCTATATGAGTGAATGCCACATATGTGCAGGTGCCCATGGAGACCAGAAGAGGGTATGTGAGCCCTTGGAGCTAGAGTTACAGGCGGTTGTAAGAGACCTGGTACGGGTGCTGGAAACTGAACCCAGGTCCTCAGTGAGTGCTCTTCACTGCTCAGCCGTCTCTCCAGACCCAGGAAGGTTTTTTGTTTGTTTGTTTTTATATACATGTGACAACGGCAAGTTCTACTGTGCTCTTCTACCAGTTGAAGGGAAGATTCGTTTGTTCTACAAATATGTGTTGAGAATATTCAGCTTTAGAGAGTAAGGATAACGTGGTAAACAGAAATGGCCAAGGTTGAGCAGTGAGATATCTCAGTAGGTAGGAAGTGTTTACTACCAAGCCTAGTGACCAGAGTGCAGTCCCTGGAACCCACAGAGGAAAGAGAATGCCCAAAAGTTGTCTTCTGACTCCTCCCCCACAGTAATAATATTTTCTAAACATTTAAAGGCTGAAGGCCCTGGCGTTGTCTTCTCGTTGTGGCTGGGAAGAAAGGTGCTGCATGTGTGGATCCCAGACTAGGAGGCGACAGGTGTGAGGAGAGAGATGGGCTGGAGCAGGGAATGCGAGTGGGGTGACCCTGCTGTGCTGGTCAGGGAGGGCTGCTCTGAGCAAGTTTCTGTCTCAGAGTTCAAGACCAGGTAGGTGCGAGTGGGCACCATGGGGCCAGGTTTGACTTTGGGCTTTACTTTGAGGTAGGTAGGGTGCCCTTGGAGGGTTTTAAGCCTACAAATGACTTACTTGTTCTCCTCAATGAAAAGAAATCACAGCTGCTTCATCAACTGTGTTTAGGGTGTGGTTAGGCAAAATATCATTCTTTTGTATCGCATTTAGAAGTTGATTTGTTTTTGTTTTTGTTTTTCAATCCACCCAAAACTGAGTGTATATGTCTGTCAATGTGAATCTTTATTAACCTTGAGACAATATAAAACTAAGCCAGTTATAATTCTCTCTTGGGATTATAATGTAATATAAAAAAATTTAAACTAATAAGAGTTAATTAAGGTGTGGGTCATAGCTGGGTGTAATGGTATACACATGTAATTTCAGTGTTTGGGAACGTGGAATACATAATAAGACCCTGACTCAAAATTTTCAAAAGTAAGAGTTATTTCCCCCAAACTGCATATACTCCTAAGAATACGGTGTGAGGCGCCAAGGCTGACCAGGCCGCCGCAGTCGCCCTGCTGGGTGTGCACAGAGCTGCATTCCCTGTCCACTGCCCCACACGCCTCGTGCCCAGGTGTGATCCAGTGTGTGCGCCAAAGTGTTCGCAGCAGTCTGTCTGCTTCCAGCAGGTGCTCCCTTCTTTTTTTAATTTTAATTTTTAATTTTACTTAAAATTTTCATTTTTTTCATTTCATTTTTTATTTCATTTCATTTTTACTTTTTGAAAAAATTAATTGAAATAAAATGGCATCGCTTTCCCTTCCCCTTTGCCCCTCCAGCCCCTCCCAGCTACTCTCCCTGGACCTCCTCTGTGCCCCCTCTCGATTGATAGCCTTTTTCTTTGACTATATGTTCCATGTGTTTGTGTATGCTCAAACGTATATAATACAACCTCCCGAGTCCTCATTTGTTGTTTGTGTGTATATGGTTTCAAGGCTGACCACTCTGCACTGGCCAGCTAATAAGAGGGCTCATCCCTGGGAGAGGCTGTTCTTCTCCCGCAGTCAACAGTTGCCTGTAGTTCTTTGTCCAGGGGCGGGACTTTGTGAATTTCTCCCACCTACATTAACGTATCTATTGATATTGCAATCTGGTCTAGTGTAGGCAGCCATTTTCAGGAGAGACTTTCACAGCAGATCTCCTGGTCTTTCTGGCAGTCATGTGCCCCCTCTTCAGGATGTTCCCTGAGCCATAGCGGCAGGAGCTGTGATACAGACCCTGCAACTTAGGGAGTGACAATGCGGGAGCGCTCCGACTGGAGAGGGGGAGGAGGATGTCAGGACGCAGGAGGGACAGTGACATCAAGGTGTCTGATAAAGCCTTGATCCAGATGATGTTCCATCCTCTCAGCCTGGCGTCCCAAGATCTGTTGGTCCCTGTGTTGTATTCTCTTGTGGTTTTTGTGATGGTCTCTGTTTGCTGTAAAGACAGGCTTCTTTGATGAGGGGCTTTAGCTGCACTCACCTGTGGTGTGAGGATAAGATTTAGAATGTAGTAGGGAATTATGCTGGTCTAGCAGTGTTGGTAGTAGATTCTTTCCTAAGGTCCATGACCTCACTAGCCCTGGGAAGCTGACTAGGATTCCGGTACCCAGAATGTTCCCCTCCTGTTGAGTGGACCTTAGGTTCCTCAGACAGCTGGTGGTTGCCACTTCTTGCTTCTTCATGCGTCATTTGCCGTGATGGTGGTTGTCGTGCTTCATAGATACTGAAGCTGGGTAGGACTGTGCAATCGCCCCCTCCCAAACCTGGCAACGTGCATAGTGTTTTCTGGAACCATGGAGGCTAGACCACAGGAAAGATGCTTTCAGGTCTCGTCCAGCTCAAGTCATCTGAGTGGTGTGTTCTGAGAGTGTTGTGTCTCCAGCAGTAGGGGCCACCCTCAACCTCTGAGAGGCAATCAAGAGCTACATTGATAATCTCTTGTTTTGGGAGTCATTCAGACTACCCTGACCAGTCCTTCATGTCTGATACTGGGGTTTTGTTAGTCTGTGGTTCTTGTGGAGAGCATTGTCAGCCCAAGTGGCTTAACTTCCCTTAAGATGTGTATGTGTGCGTGCGCACGTACACGCATATATCTATACATGCACTCAGATGTGTATATTGTGTGCATAATTTTAGGTAAGTATAAAATATTATAATTCCTTGGGGCTTTATCAGACATCCTCGATGTTATCATCCCTCCTGCTGTCGTGACATTCCTCCCTCTCCAGGTGGAGCCCCTCCCCCACGGTCACTCCCTATACTACTCCACATCATCTGTGTGTCCTGCTGTCCACTCGCTGCCACCTGGACTTCTGTCGTGGTCCCTTTATACTTTTTAGTCCGGCTTATGTGCTCACATCTGAAGACTTGGAATGAAGGACCACAGATGTGAGAGATCATGCAGTGTTTGTCTTTCTGGGTCTGGGTTACCTCATTTAATATAATCTTTTCTAGGCTCATCCATTTACCTGCAAATTTTCATGATTTCATTTCTCTTTACAGCTGACTAGTATTCTTCTGTGTCTGTGCACCACGTTTTCATTATTTGTTCATCTGCTGAAGGACGTTTAGGTTGTTTCCGTTTCCTGGCTATTCTGAATGGGAAGCAATGAACATAGCAACAGGTGACTACGTGTGTATGAGTACAGTGTTGGTCCTTTCGGCGTATGCCGAGGGGTGGAATAGCTAGGCCATGTGGTAGATTCATTTGTAGTTTCTGGTGAGTCTCCGTACCGATTTCCAGAGCCACTGCCCGGTTTACACTCCTACCAACAGTGAGGTCCCCTCCTCACTAACTTCTTGGCCTTTCTGACTGGGGTGAGATGAAACCTCAGACGTTGTTTAATTTGCATTT